CTGCACTAACGGTTTACCCGTAGCATTACTAAACCCACAGACACATTGTACCTCCTCGTTCTCTCCGATGCAGAAGTGACTGAAGTGAGGAGGGGCTGCCCGAGATGATACGGGCGGGGGGGAGTAACACCTCAATGCGGGGGAGGTAGTGGAAACAGCTGTGGCAGATGTTCTTTTAGCGTGGGCGAGGAGGTGAGTAGTCGCCATTGAATCAGCAGGCGGAAGGGCGTCACGATCGTTCAAAAGTGTTCCTATTTGACGTTTCAAGTCCTCATTTTGCTTCAGAATCTTGTTCTGCTGTTCTTCCATTCTCTGAAGTCGGAGTGCAATGCTCCTGATCATGTCCTCGTTCCACTCCCTCCTCTCCACCCTTCTCCTCCACTGATACACAGAGTAGAGCGTGGCAAACAAAAACAGCCCACAGATGACACCAGCAGAAGTGTACGGGTAGGTCCACATGCAGGACACAGTATACCACACATATCCAACCACCTTCCAGAAGAACCAGTATACCCACAGTGGACCTACTATCTTGTACCCAAGGGCAACTGAGCTGTTGAACGTAAGTATGAAGATGGTGGCAGTAAAGGCACTGTAGGAAAAGATCCAGATGAAATAGTTGAGTATTAGGCAGAGGAGGATAAGTCCAACTGCTAGTACGCGGTTCACTACAACCCTCTTGAACTTCAAATACAAAGAATCTGCACCGGAATTTGCGGGGTCAGTTCCCACAGCACTCTCCCACATGATGTCCAAAAATGAAGAGAATTCTTCACGAAAAACACTTCGAACCCTCTCGCTGAAGTCCTCAACTGCACTGTAGATATTGTCAGCAAACTCAGCTGTTGTGTTGTACATTCCTTCGAGTTTCTTGTATGCATTATACTTTACGGTGTCTTTGAAGGAAATTATGGCGTCACTGATGGAAGAAAAGATGTTCCACTTCTGTGCTGACCCGTCCCCCACGTTCTCAAGCTCATCCCCGCCACCACGTCCACCACGCGGCTCTCCGTCATCAGCCGGGCAGCCATCTTCCGAGCAGTGTCCACTCTCTGGGTCCCTCTGTGAGTGTGCCAAGCCATAAAGCAAAGCTAATACCAGAAAACGCCGTGCAATTCGCCCCATTCTGCGGTGGACCTGTGGTGGAGGTGTGCGCTCCCTACATAGCCACGCCTACCAATTTAGAGCAAGCAGGACGGGGATCGCACTTGACTTGGTCGTTACATGGGAGCTAGCAGCTCCTCGGAGCGAGAGGAGGGAGAGTCCTCTGGGCAAGGCGTGTTGGACATTCTCCAGCAGTTGACTGGGGACCTCGGCGACCGCGTAGAGATGTCCCTTGCGGAGGATGAGGTCGGTGGAGCTGGTAGCAGTAGCCAGAGAGCGGCTGCAGAAGAAAGGACGAGTAATGGCGCTGGGGGTGATAATGACAGGGGTCAGGGGGAGACAGGGGGGAGAGGGGAGCAGGGCGAGGAGAGTGGGGATGAGGAAATGGAGTCGGAGACTGTGCAGCTGCTGGCGAGATTGTTTGGAACAAGATTGTGAGCCAACCTCACACACTCACTAGCTTCTCACCCAGCAACACCACCCTGTAAAGTAGTCTCTTTATTGCACATTTACAGTATTGATTGTAAACAATGCCTTTCACCTACAGGAACCGTAAGAAGGTGTGCAGAGTACCTGGTACGTCTGTACATTATCCTCACACTACTTTGGTTCTTTCTCTTTCCCTCGTGGTTTGTGTATTTATGCCATTTCTTCAGACTGTTCTCCATCCCTCTTATCACCCCCAACCCTTTCTCTGACTAGTTTATGTCTGCAATGTGTATGGAGAGGAAGAGAACCACTATTCACTGGACCTCAGAACAGACACGTTCGATCGATTCTGCGTCTTCTCCCTGTGGTTCTCCAGCGACGACAAGGAACTCATTACTGCGTATGCCTATATACCCACACAACCATCAGACAAAGACCCAGAACAAAGAAAGTGTCATACTGTGTGTTGTGTTTTCTACAGGTGCAGTGATGATTACCTCTACATCTACAATAGTGAAATCTGCGATTGTGAGGTGGGAGGAGCAGGCCGATGCCGTTGATCCCTGGAAGTAGACAATGAATTCTGCAGGGACCAGGAGGTTTTAGCCTCAAGGATGTGCCAGACTTTGTCGATTTCATCCATTACTGCTGAAGGAGCTATAATAGTATGCCACCACAAAAGATGGGGGCCTCTCTGACGAAGTGAGCTCTTGACTGTGGTGGAGCTCCACATGTGGTTGGGGAGGAGGGCACAGATTGCCTTGTGAACAACGGGGGCTGTGCACCTTCTCTGGGTACCCCACACAATACGAAATGGATGGTTGTTGTTCTGCGTGGGGCGGGGAGCTAGGGTATTGTCGGAGACTGTGGAGAGTGGGTGGGAGGGGAGACTGTCTTGAGGGGGGCGTGTATGAGGCATACTGAGCGAGTTGATTAGAGGATGTCCAGATGATGAATGCTGGGGCAGGGGGGTGGTTCTCGGGTGAGTAATGGGGTAATTGACCGCAATGACTGGGGATGTACTACCACCAGCAGAGGTGAAGTGGCCATACTGTGGAGCAGAAGGGGTTGGCCTGCAGGTGGAAGCGGTGGTCAGGGTTAGAGGGGACTTCAGCAAGGAGGTTGGGCATTGATGTGTCTGGGAGGTCGTGGAAAGGGCTGGCGTCTGTAGATAATGTGACTCCCAGAGGAGGTGGTTGATGGGGACGTGGGGAAGAATAGCTTGGGGTGAGGGTTGCATCCAATGACAAAGGATCCGCCGTATAGGATGCGCTGCAGGCGTCGGGCGGAGAGGAAGAGGAGATACGAGCTTTCCTGTGAGCTGCCACCTGTCTGAGAGTAATCCTGAGTCAGTTTGGGGGAGGAAGAGGTCATAGTATAGGGAGCAGCGGAAGGATTGTTTGGTTGGGGAGGAGCAGGAAAGGCAGTGGTATTGATATTGGGCACTGGCGAAATAGAGATTGGGAGCTGAAGGTTGCCTACCGAGATTGTATCTGAACTCGCTGTACCCTCAGGAGGGGAGGGCAGTGGGGGGAGTGATCGCTCATGCTGCATTGGCACCAGTGAAGTAGGGTTGTCTAGACAGAAGGGAGAAGTCTGGGGATTTGTAGATGGCACAGACACAGACACAGAGCCATATGGAGATCGTGCAGCTGGAAGGATAGGTGATGGATGGCTGCTAGAGACGCTGGGGTGAGTAGGGGGGTCGGAGACCGTTGAGGTGGACCCTAGTGCAGATGAGGGTGGTGATGGTAGTATGTGCCTAGGAATACAAACTGTCATGCTCTTGGTCGGGTCGGAACCTTTCTTCCTTCTGGAGGGAACTGCACGGCAAACGTGGCAGGAAAACTGGGAGTGTTCAGCTGTGCGCTGGGTAAGACGGGCGCACTGGACATGAGACCAGAGACCACACTGC